TTTTTTTTAATGGTTTGAGTGTTTTGCTCTGTGTGAGGCATGGGTAGATGTTTCTGTGGTTCCCAGAGGAGGGAGGGTGAGGAGTGGGTGACAGGGGAAATGGTGGTTGTGGTCACGCAGTTGTTCAGGCAGTGCATAGAGGGAAGTCAAGTGAGTGGTCAAGTCAGGTGCGTGGTACTATAGATGGCAAACATTTGTGGTGTATTTATTTATACACAGTATTTCTCACTAGAAAAAAATGCTCTTTTCATTTAAGGTCTGACTTCTGGACACTTTGCGTACCAGATTTAAAGCTAGACTGAAATTTTGGATTGATATAAAAACCACTGACCAAGTTTCATTCTTTGAGCAGAATGCCACACAGTTTCACAACCTGGTTTTCTTTGCCTCAGATTGAGCGTAAAAGAAAGGGCATCCTTTGGGGAACAGCTGTTCTCTTATGTTCGTATTAACTAGTTTTGTCAGTGTAGAACGAAAGAGGGCATCAGATTTTGGGATCTCTGTGGCAGTGTAAAATACAGAGGTGTGTGGTTTTTTTCTAGAATTCACTAGTGACTTTTGGATGCATCCAGTTATTTCCTGATATTATTGAATCCATTTATTTTTGAAAGACCTGCTGTTTCAAAAGAGCATTCAGCCCTTTCTGCATATCAGTGCTTTGCAAAGGATCTGAAGCAAGGCATTTGCAAGGGAAAGCGTCTGAATTTACTAACCACTTTGTGGGACGCATTCTCATTCAGCACAGATCCTTACTTTGCTTTCTCTGTGTCCTGCTCTAGTCCCCAAAGCAGCAAAATATAGTCCAAATTTCAAGAGAAACATTTGCCTCTTCTTTTTTGAGCCCTGCTGTTGAGATGCCTCTTATAAAACCCTTGAGGTCTAGAAAATATGAAAAGTAAACAGTAGAGGAAGTATGTTCACTTACTAACTTAGTGGGAGCTTCTGACTAAGAATGTGGTCTCTTACTAATAAGGAAACTGTTTTGAAGTTGAAAAATATATATTTTGGTCACAATGCATTATTTAGGTGATTCATACTGATAATGTTGTGTGCTCTGAAACCATAACCTGTGGCCTCGATTTCCAAAGCTGCTGAAATCTGTTACAGAAATATAGGTGAGGTGAATTGGGAAAATAAAATCTGCAGTTCAATTTATATTTAAAAGTAAGTATCCACGCAACAGCCTGGCCTTGGGCAGGACTTTTTACCAACTCACATGTGGAAGACTGTCTTTCGTCTTGAATGCTGTTGGTTTCCAATGCAGTTGCTTTCTCATCTCCTATATTTTGCATTCTTTATGAACTCAGATCTTAGCTGCCCAGATGTTTGTAGCCAAACTCCCTCTGACTTTTACTAGCCTCCAGGAGTACTTCAAAGCCTCCTAACACTTACAGCAAGACTCCAGCAGGATATTGAACACCCACATCTGCAAAGTGAGCGGGTGATCGAGTTGTTATTGAAACCTGAAATGCATTAATTGCAGGCTTTGTGGTACAATATTAAAATGTTATATGAGGTAAAATGGGCTCCTTCTGATTTTTCTAGGACTACCCAGCCACCTCTATATGTGACACTCATTCGGTAGCATCTTAATTACTTCTGAGGCCATTTAATGCGTCAGTGCATGTTTCCATCAGTGATGGATGTAGGTAGCTCTTTGTTCCTATTCCTGAACTGATCTCCCTTTCTCTGACAATGTGCAGAATGCTGGCATATTTGGTAAATAGTCCGAGAGGATGGATTTTCCAGTGCAGGGTTGTGGTCACTGCTTTCTGTTCTTCGCCTGCCATGTAGTGTGCTTCTTAACTGGGTGGAGTCTTTTAAACAAGAGAAGAATCATAGAATTGTTTAGGTTTGAAAATACTTTTAAGGTCATTGAGTCCAACTGTTTCTGTTAGAAATTTTGGAACATGTAATGAATTGTGCTCACAGCTTGTAAATCTACTCAGAAGTTCCTGCTGACCCCATGAATGTAAGTGATCATACAGGGATAACAAAATAGTATTCCAGTAGTGTGTAACTGCTAAAAGTACATGTAAGTGTCCCCGCCGCTGAGCTGACATCTCTTTGTACTGTATGCCTTGCACGCACCCAAAAAAACTCCCTTCTTTTGTAAACGACACTAGTATTCCTATGCAGCAGTCAACAAACATATCATTGCAACATCTTTGCAAAGTCAGGAAATGTTCTTTTTGTAATTCACCCTCTTTGAAAACCAAGACACTGCTTATATTCGATCTGGAGCTATTCCCTGTGTGACTTTTCCCTCAGTTCTCTGCAATTCTAAGCACCATTTAGATGCAGTGCAGTTGTCAGTGTTAGCACATCTGCTGCTGAAATTAAGGTTGCAAAAATTCTTTGCCTATTTAAAGTAAGCATCAGGTCTGGATACAATTTTTCTTTGTGTTGAGATGAAATACCCTATTTCTGAAAAAATGCTGATTCACTCAAGCCAGAATGGAGACCAAGAGATGCACCTAACAGGGTCCTGATTTATATCAAGAAGCAGAGGCACTTCAGTTTTGATTACGCACTTCTCATGAAAGTGCACCAACCTCTATATTGTTGAGGGTGGTGCTGGTGGTGTAGTTCTTTTCATTAAAAACCTCAAAAGATCTTGATTTTATTCCAAGGCAGTACAAAAGCATCTCTGAAATCATGAAAATGTTTGTGGGATAGGCAGATGAATGTTCCCATCCAGATCTGCTGACAGATTTTCTCGTAATGCTTTTCTACTTTTTCATGACAATGAAAGCAGAAGTTCAATTACAAAAAGCCAAACCATATTCTTTAGCAGAAATCACACTGAATTTATTTTAAAATAATGGAAGAGGGAGAAAAAAAAACCAAACACAATAATCCAAATTACTTACCAAGATCTTCCCCAGGTGTCGTATCAGAATTGCACCCTTTCCATTTCACATAGCAAACCAATTTACAGTCAGTAAATTCTTTTAATATGCATAAAATAGGCATCCTGTTACATTACTCAAGCCTACCAAGTTAAATAGAATCATAGAATTAACTGGGTTGGAAGAGACCTCCGAGATCATCAAGTCCAACCCTTGATCCAACCCCAGTGTGATTACTGGATCATGGCACTCAGTGCCACATCCAGCCTCATCTTAAAAACCTCCAGGGATGGTGAATTCACCACCTCTCTGGGCAGGCCATTCCAATGCCTCATCACTCTCTCTGTAAAGAACTTCTTTCTAATATCCAACCTAAAGTCTTCCAGATAGATAGATAGATATCTTCCAAAGATACTGTACAGCTTTGGTCGGGGATTGAGGAAATAATGAATGAGTCTGACTTAGCGAATTTTTGTAATAAAAATCATAGCTTAGTTGAAATACAAATCTTAGGCTTACTTTTGTAAAAAAAAAAAAAAAAAAGTCCCTTGTTATACACTAGCAAAAGTAGAGAGAAGATAAGAGATTGAGAAGAGACAGTAGTTTTTGAGGGTCACTGCAAATAACTTTAACATTTGAACTGACACTGTTCTGATTTTCAAACACTGGAAGGTTTGAAAACACAGTTGATGCTTTTCATCCAGTTGTAAGCCTGAGAAAGGAGTTTGGCAGCTATGTGGAGAAAGATAACCAAAATCATTTAGAAGAGGTAGTGGTGGAGAAAAAATCACATGCAGTGAAGGGAGGGGAGAGCAAAAAGCTAGGGTGTGTTTCTGTGATACCCCCATCCTTATAGCCCAGGCACATATCCCAGTATCTTACCATGTGCCCGAGAGCACAATGCCACCAGCAATTGCTGAAAGATACTTCTCCCTCCACAGACCCTGTAGTGCCAGCTCTCCACCTGCTCCAGTGAGGGCTTGCTCTGTTACCCAGTGGGTCCAGTACAGAACTGGCTGGGGAGCTGGGCAAGATGTCCATGCCTTGGTTTCTAGGTTTGCACTGCCACTGGGTGAGATCTGCTTTCATTTCCCTGAGTGCATGACACAGCTCAACTGCAAGGATCAATAAAGAATGCAAATACCAGGATTTATTTGTAATACTCAAAATAGTCGTTCTCATTTACAGATGTTTAGAAAATACAGAGGTGTGAAAAGAAAAGCTATGGTAAATGTACTCATGCTGTAGTTACATCAGACCCCTTCCATCATTCAGACTCCAATTTTTTTTTTTCCTGTTGTCCAGACAGTAGTCAGGACTTCAGGCTTCACTCATTTCTCTGCTTTTCATTAATTACATTAGCTGGTATACCTGTCTTCCCTTTGAAGCCTTTTAGTAGGTTTGCACGAGTATAATCGTTCATCCTGGAACTCACTGTGTCTTTTTCCTTAGTAGGAGGGAGTGATTCTTTACTTCTGACCCAAGCAGTCCAAAATTGTGTCAGGTCCTCAAAAATGTCTTAAAAAGCACAAGTGTGCTTTTGATGATCTTTTTCCTTTAAGAGAAAGGTTGAATGCAGGACCTCTTTTGCTTGTTTTCTGGTTTCTTTGCCTTCAAGTTATCTTTTCTTTTCTTTTTTTTTTTTTTTTTTTACTGAAATCACAGGGGATAGACACTTTATTTATTTTGATTAAAATTAAATATTTAATGTCATAATAAGAAGCTGAGAGTTAAAATGCACAGGACTTAAGTTATAAGAATTGAAAACACACAAATTCATTAAAACATTGGATTTCTAAATTCAGGAAAACTCAAAAAAACCCAGAATTGATTAGATTAGTTTGAAGACATCGTGACATGTTTGTGGGTAAGCTAGGAACCAAAAAGAAACACTTATTTTGTCTTTCTTGCACAGAATAAAAACCTATATACATTTAAGTTCAGAGTTTTCTTGGAGTGGCTTTGATTGAACCACATGATTCTTTTCTGTAGTTTGCAGCACTTGTACTGGAGTTCCAGGCTAAGTCCATCCACCTGAAGTACTGATTGCATTACACTTGCACCTCTGTCTGTGTTGCTCGTTTCTCTTTTTCTTTTCCTGCTGTCTTTGGAGAGAGAAGTTCCTTCTTCCGCAGTCCCATCTCCCAATCAGAGGGACACAGAGCGCTTCCTCTTCCTAGCAGCATACTCCCCCGCCACAAAATTGGATAAGGAGTGGCTGAGGCGAGTGTCCAGAGTATCAGAGTTGTTGCTGCTGCTGCTGATTTTCACCCGTGGGCACAGGCACTGGAGCATGGCTCTGCGGATGTAGCTGTCAAAGCAATAGTAAATGAAAGGGTTGGCACAGCTATTGGCAAAAGCAAAAGGGCTGCTCACCTGCATGCCCAGTTGGGCAACAATGTTGGAAAAACAGTCAGACTGCTTCAGGAGTCCCAGAAGGATGGCCATGAGCTTGAACAGATTGAAGGGAACCCAGGAGACAACAAAAGCTGCCACTACAATGAAGACGATCTTGATGGATTTTCTCAGTTTCTTATCATGTTTCCCAGTCTTCTGATAATGCACACAGAGTCTCTTGGTGATAGAGCAGTAAAAGGTTAAGATACTCAACAGAGGGAAGAAGAAGGCCAGGATTAAAAGCATCAGCGATGAAATCTGTTTGACGTCTGTCATGGCTTTGTCTGTGCAGTATGTCTTTCCATATTGCTTCCTCAGTTCTCTAGACAAGAGGGTTGGCATCCCCAAGCAGCAGGATAACAACCAGACACCGATGCAGAGTGCTCTGGAATAGGATCTTGTTCTGATCCGTCTAGCAGTAGAGGGGTGCATGATAGCCAGGTATCGGTCAGCACTCATACAAGTGAGGAGGAGGATGCTGCAGTACATGTTGACTGAGATGACATAGGAACTAGCTTTACAGAGGAAAGATCCTACCCTCCAGCTCCCATCCGATGCCTCCTTGTCCACCCAGAACGGCAGCGTGATGAGGAAAATGAAGTCAGACGCAGCGAGGTTGATGATAAAGACGTCAATCAGCCTCTGGACCCGTCGCTTGAAGACCAAGGCTACAATCAGGACTGAGTTGCCAACAATGCCCACCAGGAACACAGCAGTGTACAGGATAGGGAGGAAAGTAGACATATGTTGCAGGTGCTGATACTGGCAGTTGTCCTCGTAGTAGTAGTCATAGCTCAAGGTGACTGGAGACACGGACGAGAGCTGGGTGAGTTCCATTTCTGGCCAGGCTGTTCTCATCCCCTCTCTGAGGGAGGCTCTGAGCTCCCCTGCCCTTCCCTTCAAGGTCTTTAAAGACATTTTAACGAGTGAGGGGGGAGGAGTGGAGGGAGGGAGGAGGAGAATAGTGGTTTTGTGGGGAGATAATTTATATGCTTTTAACCAGCCGCGTAGGCAACAAATAAGCAACAACAGTCTCTGATTAGTCAAAACTTTGTCTTCAGAATAAACACTTGCAGCTTTTTTTAAAAATCAGGTTTAATTTTACTGATTCTATCTCCATTTTGCATTTGCCCGTGAAAGCAAACCCGGGTCAGGTTTTGCTTTTTTTTCTTTTGGGGGAGGGAAGGTAGTTTTCAAGATTCTGAACTTTTTATTTTTTAGCACAGGATATTGGTAGCTTGCAGAGATTTGAGATTGTACCAGCTTAGAAGAAGTCAGAGAACAGTGAATTCAGGTGCCACATTCTTTATCTACACTCAAAACATTTTGTATCAATTGCTTGTCAGGGCAAGTTCAACTTTTCTGAGGCTTGGAGTTTTTTACTTTACTTGTTCATTTATGGTTGTTGTTTTCTGTTGAGAGTAGTTATCTCATACGAAAATACACAAGGAGAAACACTTAAAACTACTATGTCCTTTCTGCCCTGTAGTTGGTTGTTCTGTATCAGTCCCAGGCTCTTTGCTGCCCTGGCAGTGCCCCCCTCCTGCCCTGCAGCCCCTCCAGTTGCCCGAGACATGGACTCTCCACACCCGACTTGATGAATGTATTAGAAACTTAGAGAACAGTGTCACACATTCTTCTGCAATGTGAAACTTGACTTGATGCTCCCATCCCCTTCACAGACTTCCTTATCAGTCACAGTCCTGGACTGCAGAGCAATGGTTTGTTCCTTCTGCTTCTGACTGCACAGGCTGCGTGGCTCTTGAGCTGTTCTTATATACAGTGCTCACTTCCCTTAAAGAGCTCTGATTTCCTTCATCTTTCATTTGCAGTATCCGTATCGCTCCAGCTGTGACTTACCTTACAGACAGCCCTTTCAGCATTGCATAAATCAGATGGAAATTCTCATTTTTTAAACTACTGAATTCATTACAGATTTGTCAGTGCATACTAATTTGAAACCTCTACTATTGGTCATCATCATCCTTCCTCTCTTCTGCAGATAAATTGATTTTCTCCTTCCTCTCCCTCCCACCTGCACCTTCACAGACCAGGCGCTTCTTCAGGATTCTCAGAGCTTTGAGGAGATTGCCTACTGGTGCAGGCTCCACCCCTGGGCACTTAGATTACATCTGTGTGTGTCTCCACAGGCAAAGAACAACTGTAGACTGTGTGGGCAGCAAATCAGTCCCTCCAGCGCACTCTGGATGCACTCAGATTCACTGTCTCAGTGCTCACGTTACGTGCTCCTGTGCAGCAGGTGCCTGGTAGACCTCCAGGCAGCTGGAAAAGCAGCCAGCAGCTATTAAACAGCTGGCTGCTGGATGGAAGGATATTTAGGTGGGCACTGTCTCTTGAGTATATGTGCTGATGTCTAATAAGGATGTAGTTATATACAATTGCCTTTCTACGAGTAGGGCACTAGTGGACTAGTGACTATTTTTAATGGAATGTATAAGGATTTGCTTAGTGAGTGCGATTCAGTCATCACGAATTCTGAAAAAGGATCAAGGTGTATAAAACCACCACAGATTAGATTACTGATTTGTATGCCACAGAAGTGAATGTGAACCTGTAAGGAAGAACAGGCTAAAAAACATCTTGCCATCTCAACTTGGGCATAACCGTTCACGTTAAAAATCACTGTGTCCTCTTCCTAAGTAGGAGGCAATTACTTTTTTTAGTCCACTCATGAATGAGAGCAAAAATAACATTCCATGGATTTGTAAAATGCCTCACTGTTATTCTAGGATAGTAACCTCCTGCACCTGAAAAGACTATTCTTATTTTCAAGGAAATGTAAAAGTCTCTTCTGTGGTGCTGAAAGTGAGCAGATACGATTGCTGCAAGTCTTTTTTTTTGGGTGAGACTTACTTGTCACTGGTCAGTTACAGCATGGATTTGTGTGCCAGGTTGTTCTTTCCCTGGCAAAGATGAGAGAAAGGAACACAGAACAAAATTCATAGAACTCTTTAAATTGTGTTGGGTTGAGGACATTGTGATTTGTATGTGACAGATGTAAGCATAAACCTGTAAGAAAGCACAGGCTAAAATTCATCTTCTCACCATCTGAAGATTACAAAAGATATAGCGAGTTTTCAGACAAGACTTCGTGAAAGTGCCCAAGTAGCTCGCAGTTTACAGAAATTATGTTTGATGGATTCAGTGCAGAGGTGAGTTTTGCTTATTTCTGCTTCAAGGAATGTGTTTCAGGCTTTTTCTTCCAAGGAGCCCTGGGAAATAGAGGCGTTCTCTTTCCATTAGTACTAGAGTAGAAGATCAGCTGAACCCTACAGTCTGCAGTATAATAGTTCTGCTTCTTTAAGATGGACCTATATGTTATTTTACTCTGCAGTTAGATTCTAACAGCTTACATGCAGTTACAAGCTTTAGAAATGAGGCACAAACTTCCCTCCATCTCACACTACTTCTTACTCCTTGAAATTCATTCCCTTCCTCTCTCCATCCCAGAGCAAACAAAAAAGTGAGTAACTGTAAAAAGCTTAATGGAACTATAAAGGCTCATGCCTGTGCATTTTTGTCTTTGTGATTCCTCACTATGTTGTCTCCCTGTAATGTAATAGCCTTACTCACTAAAACAAAAAATTAAATACTAAACATTTTCCAACAGGGACCAACTCTGCTCTCTTGAATTTGCTCTGTATTTCTTGAATGCTCTAAACAGACTTGTGGATGTTGTTGTGTGTTGCCATATTCCACAAGTAACACTTCCTTACCTAGGCAGAAGCTTTGCAATGATAACCTAAAGCATGGTCATGAATAATTAAGCAATCTGTAATTATCCAAGTGGAGCAGGAGCAGGTGTATTTATCAGTAGTCTGAACATCTTGTGGGGGATTTATGTGATACTGATTCACTGAGGGCATCACCTAGGGTCTTACTCTTCCCAGAGCTCACTTCCCTGAGGTGGAGCCAAGTTCTCAAAAATACTGAGTACATAGAAATTCCCCTCATAACACTCTCCAGGAAGCTCAGCACATAATGTGCAAAGATCTGAGAGATGTGGTGAGATGTTTTATAAGCAAGAGAAAGCCTCCATCCTCTCCTCACTCTTCTAGATTTCCACAGAATTTTTTTCCTCACAGACTTTGCCAGATGCATGTAAACCCTTTTCCTGAACAAAATTCTCTATTGAAGAAATCAGCTACTGGCTTGGGTGTATATTCTTCCATTTGGGATACCCATCCTGTCCAGCCCTTGATGCAGCTCTGAAAAAATGCAGCTGCTGGGTGCTGAGTACTTTTGAACCTGAGAGTGAACCTAAAGCTTCTGTAACCAGACACTCAGAGCTCCTGGGATCATGGCCCTGCATTTGGCCAGTTCTGCTTGAAAGGAGCGTTGGTCTGCTCTGGTCCTGCCTTTCTCAAATGCACCTGTGAAATTCGTCGTGGCAGTATCTGTACCATTCCTTAAATCTTCCTCGTAGGAAATGCTGAGGTGTTTCCAACAGTAGCATGAGAAAAGATTTCATGCTGTTGACCACAGTTCTGTAGTGCTTGCCATACCTGTATTATAGGCAGGCAGCCACCTATTTTTGTGACAAAATCTGTAAGAGCTGCACAGCAGAACTATCAGCACAGGAAGTATGCAGGGTTGTTGATTTAGTTTGCTACGTGCACCACCTCCCCCTTACAAATTTCTGCAATTGAAGCATTTCAGGTAGAGAGGTGCGAGTTTGTTTTTTGTGGTTTCTTTTTTCTTTCTTTTACATTTTCGGTCTTACTGATAGTTTAAATGTGGTCTTATTCCAGCTTGTACATGGCCTTTTATACAAGCACAGGCATCTAGATAAAATAAGCTGTGTATCTGTAAATTATTAATGATGATAAATGCTGAGAAGGACAGAGGTTCATTTGGCTGTAAAAGAAAGTGTAATAGTTTCTAAATGATTGTGCTTCAAAAATATGCAAGAAACAGAGATTTGCAGACCTAATTTAAAAACAATCCAAACCCCACACTAAATTGGCTGAAACTGCCCTACTATGCTATAACTGTTTGAAGGCAGGCTCAGAGGTGACCAGTGAGTGACAACCAACTGAAGTTTCACCCCTCAACAAAGAGGAGAGGGTGGAACTAATTCAGGACAATGTATTGTGATAGGTTGAAATAGTTCATGTTGAGAGTAGTGGTCTACAAAATGCAGTGCAGGAAGATTTTTTTTGTACACTTAATTTTTGAATATTTATTATCTCATCCTTTTTTAATTTATATTTTTGTATATGTTTTATAGAGTACATAATCTATTGGTATAGTAGTACATTTGTATAATTCTAAAAAAATATAGACATTAGAGGGGTGCCTGCTCACAAAGTTTTCACTGATGGGGTGCATGATAAAAAGGTTTGGAGACCATGGACGTAAAGGACAAATGAGTATAATTAAAGTGCACCAGTGCTATTCATGGTATTTGGAAGGAGCACATCTAGAAGGTCTTCTCTCTGTGAAAATTATAATTACAGTAGGATTTTCTTATCCTATTGTGTTCTGTGCCACAGTAGGAAAAATAAAGAAGGGAGAAATGAAACAGATAAAACTGTGTAAGGAGGTCTGAGATGAATCCATGGGATTTTCTGCTCCCTCTGGCTATGTGAAATGCTCATAGATGGTGCCTAAAACACAAAAAATAAAACTGCCCTTTTTGTTATTACAAAGAGAACACTTGTTGGGAGAGGCGATATCTTGTAAATTAATGAGTAGTATTGGAAAAAAGACTTCTGAACACCTTTTTCAGATCTGAATCGATAACTCCTGAAGTGAATGTGATATATGAAGGGTTTTTTAATCTTCTCATCCTATATCAGCTTCATTTAATACAGATGGTGCCACCTCCTTCAAAT